CTCTCTCCCTCTCTCTCTCTCTCTCTCCCTCTCTCTCTCTCTCTCTCAACACAAACTTCAATTTGTCAAATATCTTTTCAATATATATTTGTGTCTTCAAAAATTTCATAGCCTAAATGCACACTTTTTGTCATTCTTGATATTCTATCGTTATATAATGGCAAGTCAAGTTTTGATTTAATTATCTCCTTAAAAATACTAAATGTACAAATGATTAGATTATTCATTTGTACACTTAGTAGATACGCTTTGCATCTTTTAATATTGCTATGACAAACTTCTAAATTTAAAAAATATTTAAAAGTGATTTTATATATATTATAGAATATTAATGAAATATTTTGTAGTACTATTATTACTATATAGTATAATATTTTTCTAGAAATATTTACATACTTATCTCATCATGTTATTTTTATAGAATTTTTAATTTAGCGTATTTTATGACGATTATATCATATCATATATTATATCAAAAAGAAAAAACATTATTGAGTCAATCAATATATATAAACATTGTGACATTAATTTGTTGAACAGAACTACATTATATTACACAGCTTTTATTAAAAAAATATTCACTTATATTAGGTTACGCCACTAAACTATTGCATTGATTATTACAAGGCGGCAAGACAGTGACGAGACTTTCAGTCTCGCTATCGCTGTTGCTGAAGTTGGTCCTTTCCAAGACAACTGTGTTCTCATTCTTCTCATTGAAGAACTGATAACATAGTGGAGTTTTGCCAGCGCCCAAATCCACACCAGAATCTGCGCTCTTCGAGATTTCCGACAACCTGCGAAAGTTACCGAAGAAAACGCTATCGGTACCGATACTCTCAGCACCGCTTTCACTAGCACCGTCGCACACAGATTCTGTCTCGTCGGTCTCTTCGGACACGCTGCTCACCTCATGTTTGAGTAGCCGTTTACGTGAGCCGTTGCTGTCAGTGCTGCTGAGATAACCGCTATCTTCCACCTTCACGTGATCTCGTCGATTGTCCACCATCAATGGCAAAATTAAGTTACTTGAACTAGAATTGCACGTTCTCGACAAACCTCTCAGCTGTCTTGTTCTGAAGTAGTTTTGTGTCTTGTTAACAAGTCGTCTATCCTTGTCTTCCTGATGATGCTCGACGTTCCACGATCGCAACTTGGAACTCTTCGCAGAGCTTCTATGATAAGTTGAACTTGTAGCAAGTTTTCTTTCTCGACACGATCTCGTTTCTCGCGATAAAACACCATCTTTAGCACAAATGTCTCTGTAAAGTCTGTTCTCAGAATTTTGGATCTCGACTCGCGTCTCGCACGGAAAGTTTCTGCAACCGTTCGTCATGATCTTCTCGTTAAGGAATGTTGCCGTCTGCGTCAAAGCAACATCCTCGTGACACTCTGTGTTGTAAATATCAATTTGAGTCTGCGACATGCAGGTCTGATTCCCTACATAATATCCGTCAGCTTTTGGGACAGGAGTGCCGTTGCTGGCCGTAGGGTCACCCGCTTCGACAGGACTCCTGTCCCACGCGTTTTTTGACGGAGACAATGGCAGCGGCAGCAGTTTCGCGTTCTCGACGCGTCGCGGCGGTTTCGGCTGTTGATAAATCTCCTCCGTAGGCGGCAACGGTACCACGTCCGGTTGATTGTGCTGCCGTTGTCTCTTTGCTTGCCTGCTTTCGGGCGTCAGGTACTTGCATCTCTTCCAGGAAAGAGTGCCATCAAATTCGCTGTTCATTTGGCATTTAATGTCGTAACCGTTTGTTAAGTGCGAGTCCTTTAGGTTCAACCTAATCTTCGCCTCGTAAATCTCCCGCAAACTGCCGCGATTACGTTGCAGCGCGGAATTCTCATCTCGAAAACTGCCCTTACTTCTGAGCAGAATCTGAGCAGGTCGTTCTAGAGAATCTACATAAACTTCATTAGCGATTTCTTCTTGACCATAGTGAATGTTATCGTTGATACGTAATTTCATCGGTTTTCGGTCTAGCGTGTCCGGTTCGTACTCGGATTCGTCGAGCTTTATGTAATTCTCCGGTGAATCCTGCACTTTGATAGTCAGATGACCTGGATTCTCTGGCTCATATTGAATCTCTGGGCCGCTATCGTCGCTGCAAGCTGGACTGGCGTAACCGTCGTTCACGTAGACTTCGCTGACGAGCGAGTACGCTTCGGATCGTTGCTGGCCGCTGACTAGCTCCGGCAAATTGTTGTAGCAATCACGTTCGAGAATTCGATCACTGATCTTTGTCATTGTCATTTCACCAGTACGCGTGTTAATTACGGCATTCTGCATCGTCAGCTCCTCGTCCATCGGCAGTGCGGTAGACAATGCCGGGCTTGATTGGTTATCCGTCGATGATTGATCTGGCGACGTCGACGACTTCCGATTAGAACGCTCCAGACTGTCCACTTCGTAGTCACCTACTGCTAAGTGATCCGACGATTTAGCGTGATGATGATCCAAAGCTTTCACGTCTACCATCTCACGTATTACAGCGTCCATTATGCGCTTTGCGGTGTTGCGCGCGCCGGGCAGCTCGTTAATCATGTCTGGAAGTTCTTTTTTTTTCGCCGATGGTGCATTTGGAGCCTTCGAAGACTTCCGAGATCTCTTCGGAACAGAAGCTCTTTCAGAGCTCTGCGAATGCGAAGGCTTGCTTGGTTTCTCTGATTTCTCCGTATTGCTAGATGATCTGTCTGTTTTTGTCAACTCGTCTTCACTCTTGCTGTTCTTATCTACCTTTATGCTCTCTTTTATCTCGTTCTCCATGGCCGCATTCTCCTGCATTTGCTGGATGAAAGAGTTCTCGATGGCCTTGCGCACTTTCGCGTTTATCGCGTCATTACCGGCAGAAAACTGGGACGTTGTGCTCTGCCGCTTGTTGTGACGATCGTGTTCGGTACTTTCGAACATGGACCTGGTCGATCTTTTGGATACGCTTTGACGATCATCGTTCTCCAGAATCTCACTTCTGGCAGTAATATTTTTGAAAGTTCTTAGCATCGGTGGATTATCTTTCCATGATGACACCGACTTAGCGGTGAGACTCGCGCGATCGTCCGGATCGGCAAGATCGCGTCTTGCCAACTGCTTCAGATACTCCAAATTGCGGGCGAATGTGCGCGCGTTTTCTTGGAAATTTCTGCGCGTGTCTTCGGGGTCACGCCAGCGACGCTGCGGCGGTCGCACATCTTCCAACCAGGCTCGTACTTTGCTCTCACCGTGACTGGATAGTTCGAGAACAGGTAGGACAGGAAGCTGCCGGGGCGACTCGCTGCAACCTGGACAACCGGTGCACCGTTGAGACTTGCGCGATTTCGCGGCCGAACCGCTCTGCACAGAGCTTAACGTTGCCCGCTGTTGATGCTTGCTCAACTTGGCCGACTCGCATCGTTCGGAACCGCTCTCTTCTTCTGGAATACCTGTCAGATTACCGGTGATAATGATAAAGTAAAAATAGATCAATTATTCCTAATTGTTGAAAGAGTATGCTGCTTTCGTGCGCTGTATATATTAGAAGATTTATTATCTGATGGACGTACAAAAAAAAAAAAAGACGTACAAATCTTTGCACAAAGCACACAAAGAATAAATTCAAAAGAAAGACCTAAAGCAATATATACAAAAAAATGACAAACTTAAAAAGTATTACCTCCTATATCTTTTAGCACAAGTTAAATACATTATATCTTCTCTTTATAACTATAAATCAGTAACCATGTTATAACGGATTTCTTATTTTAGCATTTATCTTGAAACATTTAAAAAGTTTATAAAATCTTGAAACATATACTTACCGGTGAGGGTGGGAACAAATCTCTTCGCGGCCATTTTGTGTTTGGCGATAGAAATGACTTCTCGAATTTTGAGCAGGAACTCGATGGCAGCCGGAGGTGGGGCCTAAGAAAATGCCAGGCTGTTTTCAAATTATCTTGTCGCCGATCAAATAAATAAAGACGTAGACGAATCGAATAGACCGCGTGTCGAGGATACGTCATTAAAATATTTCTGACATCGAAAACGTTAAACTCGTGCGGATGACTCGCGCGAATAGGAAATACGCGACTCTTTATTCTCGTTTTATCGTCAAAGTTAAGCAACTTACCAATAATAGTTGTCGATCGAAGTATGCGGGATTGAAGTACAATTTCCTACGTTGAGCACCTGGAAGAACCGGTACATCCTGCTGATGCGGGTTGTCAGCCGTTTCCACGACGCGTACATCCTCTTCCGGCAATCTCTCACCCAGAATAGAACCCGCGGAAAAAAGTCCTTCCGATTGCTCCAGATATACGCAGTGCGGATGGACGATTGCTGATGTTATTTGCTGAAGTGTAGAATGCCGGTTAAAAAACTCACAATAAAAAGCTTTAAATTATTTCGTAATTTGCAAAATCTAAACTAGAGTTTGCAGGTTATAAAAGTGTTTTGCGTATATTAAATTGTTTTTATTTTATATTATTAATCAAAAAGAGAAGAAGATTTTCATAAACTGGATTGTCTAAAAAAAAAAAAAAAAACAGATTATCTCTGGAAGTAACGCGACTTGCACTCGAACTACTTCAGCAAAGAAAGAATCTCACTACGTAAAGCCTGGAAGGAAACAGTTCGCAGAACGCACTGAAATCGCAGTGCGTGGTATTCCGACAACCGGTACGGTGTAAAAGTGGGATATACCTTGCCTACTTGGAATGGCACGGACTAACGGAGCGCAAAACTAATGCGCTAATTGGATGCATTATTAAAACGCGCGCTGTAGTCCCAGAGAGATGAATGGTTTTTGTGCTGGTGATATGGCAAATTGCGACGGAGATAGCTACGGATAATTTTGTTGCGTGGTGTTTTGCATTTGAATAAGTGCGTAACATCTTTAAAATGACGTAAACTTGTTTAATTACGCGATGAAACAAGTGTATCTATCATCTGCTTCTGTACGACAGATTAAAATCTTTAATAAAGTTCTCCATTAAAGTATAAAGCAACTCGTTAACTAAAAACAATTTGCACGTTACTCCTTTCTTCTCTTGTTTAGATTTCAAGAATAAAGTAAATCCGAATAAAAAGTTAAGCAATTATATAAATTAATAAGTGTGTATACTTACATTTTCAAAGCCCTGCTCGTTATCACTCGGAGGAAGATCATCGCCTAAATCGCTCTCGGTAAGTCCGCTGTTAGTATCGCTCTCGAAGTGTCTCGTAGCAGCTAACAATGGATTACTCTTCACTAATCCACTACCGTCGCGACCGCCATCAAGAGTGATGTTTGCTTCCTCGATGGATTTTCTCTTTGCCCTTCTGCTGTGCAAATATAACGATACGCTAGCTATGTATATGAAAGCTAGGATTACAGAAGAGAGACCAATGGCGGTATACTCCATGGTCGATAGACCGTGCGACATCTGAGACGTTGACGCGAACATCACTTCTCGTACACCTAGTGTATAAAAAAAAAATTTATTTAATAGCATGTACATTTCTCTTTAATATAGTTAATGTATCTGTTTTTTTAATACATTTTAATTTTCTCAATATATTATCGTAGCTTTTATCGGGAAATCATTATACGAAATTAAATCAAGATCTTAATTAAATTAAATTATGGTTTAGAAAACGTAATTATTTTATATTGAAAAACTAAAGGTTGATGTGCATCAAATATTATACTTTTCGAGGCTTTGTGTGTGTATGTGTGTGTTGTACTAAACGTACTGGTTTTTGACGGTGATCCGGCTACTCTAAACGCCACACAGGGTGTAAAAACTCGAGGAAACGTCGATATTGGTGACGCATCTCTGCAGACTAGTTTGGCCGTCACGAGTCGTCCTTCCGCTGCATCTCTAAGTCCAGTTTCGCCGATCCACTGCCATGATTAATCACATTTAACAAATGACAAAAGACTATATTATATTCATTATTAGTAAGATTGTATATACGAGCAACGACATGATAAAAATTGGCAAAACAATAAAAGAATTAAGATGAAAATTAGAATTAATAACTAAAAATTAGTTTAGAGAGCCTGAAAGTTTCTTTAAATCACGCCGGTCTCGTTGAAATGCGTTTATTATTATCAAAAACCATCTTTGATACATGTACTAAATATTGCGAGACGAGCTCCAAGTGTCTCGGTGGCCTAACAGAGAAGGCGACGGCCCGGAAAGCTGGAGATTCCAGGTTCGACTTCTGGCTGAGGAGTTTTTTTCGCAATATTTTAAAAATTAGTTAGGGAAGTATTCGGGGTCCATCATATATGTGACGCAAAAATAGCACCCTATATAAATTTAAGAATTGTATTTTCAATTCAAAAATTTCACATGTAATAATTTACAAGTGAATACATATATACATATGTGTATACATATATACATATATATATACTATATATTTCTGCATAACATCCTAAAAAAGCGGCTCGTATGACTTTATTCTGTAATTTTCTTATTACAATTTAGAGAGCCTGAAAGTTTCTTTAGAATTAGCTCATTATCATCGTTTTTAATACGTAAAAAAATCTTCTTCGTTTCCATTGAGCATATCCCGTTGAAACTAATTATAGTAATTAAAACTATTACGGGCGTTTAGCTCCGAGGTCTATTTTCTCATAATTCAAACAATCTACCAAAACCTGCGATTTTTGTTACACAAACTAGTAGCGCGCGAAAACAACATATTTCTTCCGTTCGCATTTCTGCTGCTTATGCGACTAATTATAATCTTACTATATAATAATAAAGTAATAAGTTATTCGTTTTTTTTTACTAACCTGTAAGAATGTTCTACCCTCGTCGCGAAAAAGTCTGAAGGGCGGCTCGGCGTCAGAAAGATTTCTTAGCTCGGACCATCCCGCTCTCCCTAATTGCTGAGCACCGGTAATTCCGCATACGGGAGTGGTCACACCTAGTTTTGAAAGATAATTTACGTTTACGTCATAGAGAGAGAGAGAGAGAGAGAGCAAAAACGTCATGTAAAAAAAACAAGACGAGAAATAATGAGCAAAAGAAATGTTGACGAGAATGTGTTTTTTTTTAAGAGACGCACGTGCGTCAAAAGATTATAGAGATATTTTATCAGAATTGTCTGTAAATTTCACGTAATGTTTCTTATTTAGAAGAATAGATATATTACGATTTTATTACATATCTTCTTGGCTCGTAAAAATCCACAAATGAAAAATAGGGCCAATAGGAACCGTAAACAGAGTGTCTGTGTTTTAATGATTTGTTAAATTTTGACGTCAAATGTTTGGATCCGATATTAGAATCTTTTTCAGTGACTTTTATCTTGAAAAAAAAAATGCGGAAAACTCAGTTATCTATTTAACAATTATGTACAGCTAATTGGAATTGAGTTCCTTTTTCTTTCAGTTTTTATCGAGATAGTCACTGAAGAAGATCCTAATACAGATCCAAACTTTTGATGTAAAACTTTAACAAATTAGTAAAACACGAACACTCTGTTTACAGCTAGTATTAGCTCTATTACAATTTTTTTATTACAATTTTACTTTGCTATTTTTTCCTTTTGTGAGTTACTTCAGTGTCGATTTAATATGCTGAGTTGTGAAGACCTTACCTTTAAAACGAATCTCCGCATGTGGATATATTATCTGCCCTCGTTGCGGCAGAAAGACATACGGTATTCTCTCTACATGGCCGTTGTTGCTGACAAATCCCGCAACCTCACACTCTAGAAAAAGCATACGATTCATTTATCATGTGCAGTAATTAAAATTTGTATATATAAAAATACGACATTTATAAAGAAAAATAAAATAAAATAAATTATTGTATTAAAATGTGTGTGTCACTGATTTCATCAATAATAAAAAATAATAAAATAAAATAATAAAATAAAATTTTTAATTTATTAAACAAAATCATATAAATGCATAGATTATACAAAGATAAATAGAAATTGCAAACGTTTTAAAGTCTCTCTAACGATTGTTTCTTTCGTGCAAAATGTTTCTTTTGTCCAACAATTATGTCAAATGCGTAAAACAGCTTGTAATTTTGAGGCAAATTAGCATCCTTGATTCACTCCTGTTTTGCTCATTTGAATAAATTACCAGAGACGTTGAATAAATTACCGGTTACGTAAAAAAATATCACAGACTTCAGGAAAACGCAATGCACAAACTTAGCAAAGAAAATTTTACAAAACACGTCGACAAGTTTTTTGGAGAAAAATTGCGATCAAAAAACATAACGAGATGTTTTTGAGAAGATGATGCGCTATAATCACATATAATGCAACGCATAATCTTCTTGAGTTGATACAAAACAAATATACGTTCTTTTTTGCAATACTTTATATGAATAAAGTTAGTTATCTTAACAATTATATATATTATACGTACATATTTTTAATTAAAAATATAATTGCTTGAATTTAAAGTGCAATAAGTTTTAATAAAAACATATAGATTTTTATAATTAATGATTTAAGGCTCGTTGAAATTAAAACCAAGAAATATATAAGGCATAAATTTTTATAATAAGCATCGCAAACGTTTATTAAACGTTAAATTCAAAAATTGAAATAACTTTATATTTGATTATGTAAACATTTTCCTCGAATTATCTATTGATGCCTTACCGAGACGAACATAAAATTCAATACCCTCTAATTTCGTGCATAATGTTCGCCGTAAGCGGTGTATATTTGCAATTTCTAATTGCGGTATAGATTGTATGATAAAGAGCGTAATAAATCGGCGTGTCCAGTAGGGTCTATTGGATTTAATTACAGCGTAGTAGTGTGCTAGTAGTGTGCAGAACCTGTTTGATCGTTGAAGAATCGTCTGTTTGGATATCGCGTATTCGCGAATTTAAATCCCCTGTACTAAAACTCGTAACGGTCGCCGATCGTTTATACATTATGTATCAATATTCTTTCGTTCTGTGCACGCGAACGCGATTGCAACGCGCGTTTATGTTATGAACACGCTTAATGCCATCTAAACTTTCTCTACTTTTTATTTGGAGATAACTTAATTACATGAAATATGTGTTACACGCACATCACAGAAATCATTGGTTCTGTGGTTTACAGATGTCAAATATACAACCAACATACGAGATGTTTCAAATCTCTGTGTGTTTTACTTAAATATGTAAATTCAAAAAGTTTGAATAGTTTTTTTCTCTATTTATCTTTTCCTTTTAAAAACTAATTAAAACTTTGTTCATATCCAATTTTAAGCACTTTTCTTAATTAATTTTGTGTAGTTTTGTCTGATTAAAGTTGAAATTACTAGAAAAATGCTTAAAGAAAGAATTCTTATTATTTCTTTATGAAAAAAAGTACATTAAATTTATGTATATGACAACATTTATGTATACTTATGAGGTTTGCTTATATATGTAGTGCTGGAATTATCGGTATCATTATCAAATCAAAACCAACGATGAAATCCACATATTCATTTAAGAAAGTGTCCGATCGATCTATGATTGTTTATTTATTTATACTCATCTGTTTATAAATGTTTTTTTGTGTGTTTTCAATGACTTTTGCAACAACTCTTGACTCTTTCAAAAATATTACTGCATATCCAGTCATGAAAGATACAGCGGTCCCTCGAATTTGCTTCGTAAAGAATTTTTGCTTTGTAAAGAACAATATCCGGACCGATTTACGTTTATTGCGGAGTAAAGCCAATTAACACGAACGTTCTGTCCTCTCGAATCTCGATTTACGCGCATCGGCTACTTATTCCCGTTGGCGTTCTGGCTGCAGGATCTGCACGCGCGATTCAGCGTCGGATAACGACTGGTTGATTAACGATCGTCGAGTTCACCTCACGGCAAGTAAGAGTCAGCGACAGTCTCGGTCGCGGTTGAACCTTGACCCCTCCTTCGAAGGTAGACGACAACGCGATCTTCACGAAACTAGAAGCGGCGTCCGGTTTTCTATGAGACCAAGTGATAGATAGTGTCATTTCAGCTCAAAAGCCACCGCTAACTTATGGCAGAAAGAGAGATCCGATAAGGTTGATTGCCTGCAGTTATGTACTCTTGTGCAAACAGTCCCGTCTATATTTGCTATATAGTTTTGCGATGTGTTTCTCTAAACTGGTATTTAAATAATTGATTATGAACCGTGAATTAATTGCTGTTTGTACGTAATGTTTTTGTGAGTGGATTAAATTAATTATATCAGCGCTGGCTCTTATTAGTCTAATTTATAGTAATTATTCCAATTTTTAATTGAATCTTTATTATTTGAAATTTACTAATGTATTTTACTGCATACTATATAATATACATACTTATAACATATGAATTTGTTATTATGCGACAATAGGCTGTAAATCATCAAAGTTAATGTAGAGATTATGTCTTCTTTACTATGAAGCAGTTTATTGGTCTTCAATGACACGTTATGAAAATTCCGCGGCAATCTCAACAAATTAGTTTAACAAATACTTGCTTAACGTTCGATAAGATACAACGCTTCCTGCCGTAATGATGATTGCGAACTTAAATGCATTATACACAACGTGCGTGAAATCATCGATAATACCGATGACAGCAGCGCGGTGAAGAAACGCGTAATCGAAGTTAACAGTTTCTCAAAGCGGTAGGTAATGATCTGTTAAAGTTTTAAGTTCGGAGATTGATCGAACGCCATTTTAAATAACTCAGCCAATTTTCATCGCGATCGTGTAATTTTATCAGGTAGCCGTGAATTATTCTGTATAGAGTCGATTTAATGGATCTCTGATGATAGGTGGAGACAGTTTCTGCAGTAATATCCACGCAGAACATGAATACAAACGAGATACTCAGAAAGAGAAAGAGAGAGAGAGAGAGAGGAAGCATTACGTTTTCAATCTACGAACATCCTTGATGTATCACGCATTACTTCTGACGCATTACTCGTCATGAAAGAATCCTAACTATGTAACTGCAGCAAATCATTATCATTCAATGTCCGTTGCAGCGGCGGGTGCCAGCTGAAGACACAGCTTCCGGCTACCGCAGTATCGCGCGAGAATGGCCTTGACATCTGTCATCAAGATTGACACACGAGATTGCGGTTTCGTTTGATTAGTCATGAAAATAGTATTTTTGCTCTTTTTATTTTTTATATATATATAAAATATCGTTTGATGAGATTTGAAGTGATGCTATGAGAAAAAATATCTCTCTTGTTGAATATAAAAACCGATCAAAAATCATCTCTCATTTCACACATATACACACACACATAAAATAAAACAAAAACTTGAAAAAAAAATCTATACAAATTTACTTTCTAAATAATTTATTTATTTTTATCTTATGTAATAAAAGTTTAATATAAAAATTTAATAATTTTTTATTATTCATTAAAGTGTTAAAAACGTTATCAGAAATCTCTTTGCCAGACGTGTAAGCGATCAATTGTAAATCTAAAGCAGAGCCAGATCGTGTATCACGAGATTGTCTCTGCCTTTCTCTATACGGGGAGAGAAATCGACACTAGTACTCATTGCGGTACTTCTATCTGCTGGTGCCGTCGTGCCGATGCAAATGCCACGCTTGTTCTGTTACCATTGGTGGCACGGAGTTATTCCCGCGAATCGACCGACTTATTTGTTGGTTGCAAAACAGACGCGCGTGGCCTTGGCAAGCGAGTCTATTCGAGAGCCGCACGCTTGACACGACCGCATGGCCCTGAAAAGGCCAACGCGGGTCTTCCACCTTCCTCTTTTCTCTCTTGGCTCCATTGATATCTATAATTCCTGAATAGAAAGTGCGCGCGAGAAAACATGTAATTCTTTGAAAGGGCGGTAAATGCTATATGACATGCATTTCGCGAAAAACACGATAGTAAGTAGAAATTATCTTAATTTACAGAAATCTTCCGGAATGGAAAAACGTCCAAAATACATATATCTTACCGCGTTTTTAACTAACTCGAGATTCCGTTTGATTTTCCGAAGATATATTTACGCAAAGTGGATCTAGTGACTCGTTTGGAGAAAAGACCGTTCGATCTTCTTCAAAAACAGCAGTTTCTTTTGGTATGAAGACCTATTTGTTATGCGAAGCGACGCCAAAGTGACAGATATTATTGTAGATAATATTCATCGCCGATAGGCAAGTGTGTTAATAGTGCCTCGCCTCGCGGATTATAGCGTTAAGGTATCTTTGTGGACTGTCGCATTCAAGCGTGCGTGCACATTAGTCAAGTCAACAGCTTGGGAAAGGCTCGTTGAAGGGTGCGAACCTTTCTACGAACCTCGATTTTCCATAATGACCTACCATCAATTTTCGCCATTTCTTTTCAGATGTTTGTGAAAAAACGTAACTTGCGTTACCAGTCGCGAAATCTTTGCGGCACATCCCGCAAGTAAAAAAGAACGAAAATGAATTTTAATGAATGAACGATGACGTGTCGGGTTGTTAGGTAAAACGATATTTCCTCGTATTCCCATGAATATTCGTTTGCGTGGAAAATTTACGATACTGAATTTACTTGGACGTATAAATCTTTATATTATTATTAATCTGTTATGATCAAGCTCTTATCTGTCATATTAGAATTTAAATAATTAATTAAAAAAACGCGATAACTGTAGTTTCTAAACTAAGAAATATATTTACGGTCATCCGAGCAGGATGTTGTGCGGAAAACTGCGTATATATATATATATATATATATATATGCATATATATATTTGTTCGCGTGTAAAT